GGGTCTCCAACCTTGGCAACTTTAAGCCTTGTGGACTTCAACTCCCAAAGTTCCTCAGCCCGCAAAGCTGGCTGAGGAACTCTGGGAGTTGAAGTCCACAAGGCTTAAAGTTGCCAAGGTTGGAGACCCCTGGACTAGATGACCTACAAGGTCCCTTTCAACTCTGTTAATCTATCTATTTCTTCCTCTCTTTTTTGCCATTTTTAATTAATCAGAAATGTGGATCGTGCCCAGGGAGGGGAGAGACATATCATATATTACCCCTCCCCAGAACTCACCTGTGCTCTTATGGGAGACCAGGTCTACCTTCCCATAGGTTCCCTTTCCCAGCTCACGGATGAGGTCGTAGTGCTTGTTGATGTCCGTGCCGGAAAGCGTGCGGATGGCCAGCGACTGCATGTCCTCTGTTATCAAGGGGACTCCACAACAGGCCAGCTTGCGTGACGGCTCTTGCTCGATGGAGGCAGCACTCATGGTCATGCTGGAAGGGAGCAAGAGGGAGGTTTCGGTCACCCGTTCTCGAAATTGCGGTCATTAACCAGGCGCAAAAGGGAATTGGCGTTCCAATATCCCAAACTAAATTGACCAGTATCAGGGTCATTAGGAAAGATACATACAATGGTGGCTCAAAGACAATATGCAATTTTTAAAAATGATAAGGTGCTCTCACAGGCTTCATAGGTATGATATGGATGGAGGGATGGATGAGTGGATGGATGGATGGATACATGATGGATGGATAGATAGATAGATAGATAGATAGATAGATAGATAGATGGATGGATAGATAGATAGATAGATAGATAGATAGATAGATACTGTAGATAAATAGATGGATGGATGGATTGATAGATAGAGATATAGATACCTTATAGATAAGTAGATAGATAGACAGATAGATATCATAGATAGATACCACACATAGATAGATAGATAGATAGATAGATAGATAGATAGATAGATAGATAGAGAGAGAGAGAGAGAGAGAGAGAGAAGGAGAGAGAGAGGGAGAGAGAGAGAAAGAGAGGGAGGGAGATAGATATTGGGGGATACAACAATCACATTATCAAAGTCATCACATCTCAGGATAATTCTTTTCAGGACTTCTGTTTCTCTATCATTGGTGTCTGTCTGTCTGTGTGTGTGTGTGTGTGAGAGAGAGAGAGAGAGAAAGAGAGAGAGAGAGAATGCTTATCAGCAGTTGATTGTTGTGTTTTATTTACTTGCAAAGGGCAGTCAGTCAGTAAAACTGTAAGGGTTGGAAACCTATTAAGTAAAAACTCATTAAGTGAAAAAAGCAGCAGTTGGAAATTTATCAAGGAGAGATGCAACCTAGAATTAAGGAGGAATTTCCTGACAGTGAGAAGAATTAACGGCTTATCTCCGAGAGTTGTGGGTGCCCCATCACATGGTTGTAAAGAAGAGACCGGACAGCAATTTGTCCAAAAAAAGTGTAAGGGGTTGGACTAGAAGACCTCCAAGGTCCCTTTCCACTCTGTTATACTTTACTGTTGCTTCTATTATTAAGAGGGATCAAGAAAGAGATACCAAAACCCAACCTTCTTAAAATAATACCCTGTATTTTCTGCCCAGAGGAAGGAAATACCCTATATTTTCACCCAAAATGAACATACATACATACATACATACATACATACATACATACATACATATATATATATATATATATATATATATATATATATATATATATATATATATACCCTGTTTCTCCAACAATACGGCCTCCCCCAATAGGAAGTCCCAGCATGTTTTATAGGCATGAAATGAAATTAAGCCCCTCCCCCCAAATTAAGGCCTATATTAAAACATGCGAAATGGGGGGGAAATGGTGGGGGGGGGCTTGCCGTTAGGAAGTACTTTTGTTGCACACCCGGATATGGTGCTGCCTACATTGACCCCGATACGAAGTGCCCCACCAACGCCAAGGTCAACATCCAAGCCGTCGCCGCCTGCCCGCCCGAAGATGCAAGGGGGGCGGAATTAAGTCACCCCCGAAAAGACGGCCTAGCCATTTTTTCAGGGCTCAAAACAAAATAAGACTCGGCCTTATTATATGAGAAACACGGTATATATATATATATATATAACAAACCTTTGTCCACATTACAGGCTGCATTTAATAGAGCTCTGTTCTGGTTTAACAGGTTGTTTTTTTTAAGGGATTTTTTTGAAGTCCATAAAAAGGACAGAAGACGCAACTCCTTACCAGTTATATTTGTCTTGTAAGGTAAAGAGGCTTTCTACATATCTTCCTTTCATTTAGATAATGATTAACAGAAATTGATGAATGACTTATTATCAAAAGGCATTTTTCTAATCATGCATCAGGTTTAAAAAAAAAAAATTGCCTGACATAAGCTTTCTTTTTGAAAGTTATCTAATCAAATTGGTATTTATGGCATTTTGTGTTTTTTTTTTCAGACTCTTGATTAGTTCTGGGAGTTTTGAAGCTAACCTTTATTCAGAATGCACAAATATATTCCTCCTAGAGTTTTTACAGCCTTAACTGGAACAGTATACATACAGTATTCTAAAACCAAGGTTTTGCAGGATTGTTTTTATTCCGTTAGTAAAGAGATTAAAATTCAACAGTTACTCCCTGCATGGACAGATTTGTCTGTTTTAATTTCTTCCACATTCAGATCCATTCTTTTTAAAATTCAGCTCTTTCCATCCTTATTAAAATTCCCACCGATCCCTCCCTCCTTCATTTATATTCAGCATTCTGCTGGAATTATCACCTGAAGATCATTCTGCCCAGGATTTCCCTCCCCTGATTTTCAATCTTCTAAGACCCGGAAAACTACCTGTGTGCTACCAGGTTTTGAGATTAATTGTTCAGTTCCTATCTGCCATGGAAGTTGGCAGGATGCTGTAGCTGGGGATTATGGGACTGAAGAGCAACACAGCTGCAGAACACCAGATGTTAGAAGGCAGCCCCTTACCGTCACCAAGGCTACATACACATAATGTATGTAGATGTGTGTATCAAGATAATCATGTATATATCAAGGAGAGAAGCAACCTAGAACTAATTCCTAACAGTTAGAGTAATTAATCAGTGGAACAACTTGCCTCCAGAAGCTGTGAATTCTCCATCACTGGAGGCTTTTAAGAAGAGACTGGACAGCCGTTTGTCTGAAATGGTTTAGGATCTCCTGCGTGAGCTGGGGCTGGGCTAGAAGACCTCCAAGGTTCCTTCCAACTCTTGTTATTCTGTTATAATGGCAAGAATCACGTCTTTTTTCAATTTATCCCATTCAGATTCTGTAGCCTTCTGGTTTTTCATCTGTTATTGGATTGTGTAAATCCCAGAGGCCAGAACCTTGTACAACCAATCTTGTATGAATTAATGGTGGTCCTTGTTCCCTAGGTTTTGGTGCACGCATACATCAGTGAAACCCAAAGCGTTGTGTAGTTTATAACCAGCCATGCATCAGATTGCAACAAGCCACTTTCATTTCCCCTGATTTAAGTATCCTACCAGAGGACAAAACCATTGTTACTCCCTTACATAAAGAAGTCTTTTTCATCCATGTAAACAGGAAGACAAACCCAAGAGAATTTCTTAAGTTTTTACACAAAGACAGATGGCCAGAGAGGAAATGAAGCCCATCACCCACAGCAAACAGAAGGAAGCCATCAACCACGATCCATAGCCCTTATTGTTGTAAGCTAGTAATTATAAACCATGGTTGCAGTGGTGGGATTCAAAAATTTTTTCCTTCCAGTTCCGCAGTTGATGGGTGTGACAGGGGAAGGATACTGCAAAAATCTCCATTTTCTACCCCACTCCAGGGGAAGGATATACTGCAAAATCCCCATTCCCTCCCCACCTCACTAGCCTGCTTTCCAGCTCGGTTCTCCTGTGCAGGGCAACCAAAGAAGACCCAGCTGATCAGGTGGGACTCAACGGGAGGCACAGAATAGATGAGGGTGGGGCCAGTCAGAGGTGGAATGGGCCGGTTCTCCGAACTACTCAAAATTTCCGCTCCCAGTTCTTCAGAACTGGTCAGAACCTGCTGAAGACCACCTCTGCATGGTTGGCTGAATAAACCACACCAGCTGGGTTTCCACACCCTCAAAATCCTTGCTTCGCAAATCAAGAACTTGGATTCACCCCCTTTGGGTTCTTCTGGTACATTTTGTGAACCCTGGGAAATGTACAAAATATAGCCAGTTTGTAGTGACTAAGGCAGCCAGGTAGAAACGAAAAGTTCGTGAGTTGTAGTCCCGCCTTAGGTGCGAGGCCATCTGGGTGACTTTGGGCCAGTCACTCTCTCCCAGCCCTAGGAGGAAGGCAATGGTAAACCCAATGTAGGAGATGACCAGGCTGAGCCTGAGGGCGGGGTCAAATGCATCATTAGTTTGGAATCTCTATGTTCCTGTAAGAGACCGAAGTCCAGGCTCCCTTGAAGTCCGTTGACTCTTATCTGACGCCCATTTGCCTTGACCGTTAATAGTTCAGATGACAAGTAATCCTTGACTTACAACCACAACGGAGCCTGAAATTTCTCCTGCTCTGAGTGAGACATTTGTTGTCAATCTTTTTCTCAGTGGCGTTGTAACTTTGAATGGTCACTAAACGGATGGTTATAAGTCACGGACTTTTGTGTTGCTTCAATCACACCATTGCATTGACTTGTAGACCTTCCCCTGCAGAGACCCCTGACCTAACGGCTGGGAATTATGGCATTCTGATTCCAGGGCATTTAGAGGGCACCCAAATGCCTAAACTACCATTAAATTTGGATTAATCCGACATGCTCCCTATCCCAACCAAAACCAGACAGATCTTGATCTCTTCAGGAGCTTTAAATCCAGATGATTTAACTCCCAATCCTTGCAAACCTGCCTGCTTTAATTCCCCTGATACCTTGGGAAGCCTGGGAGGTACGGCTGGTGCCAAGTGTAATTGGCAACTCGTTAGCAGCTCATTGAGAAGGCTGGAGGACACGTGATAAGAGGATGGTTGACATCATCGGCTAAATCCAGCCAGATTCAGAAAGGAAGAGGGGGGGGAGGAATTGCAGAGCTGGGGAACAATTGCCCTTTTATTAAGTGGTGTGAAATAGAACAGAATGGGAGCCAAGGAAAGAAAGAAAGAAAGAAAAAATCAGTGCAGTTAGGAATCAAGAGAGAGAGAGAGAGCAGGAAAAAGGGCTTAGAGACCTCCAAGGTAGCCAAGAAGGCTCACTCAATCTCTCCAAACTTGGCAACTTGAAGACTTGTTGCAGGCTTCAACTCCCAGAATTCCCCAGCCATATTTGTAGCCAGGAAGGCTAGTTGGAGGGGGGGGGAAATTGCAACGAGCCAGCCCTTCTATTGAGGACCTGTATACAGGTAGTCCTTGACTTAAAACAGCTTGCTTTTAGTGACCGTTCCAAGTTACATCGGCACTGCAAAAAGTGAGTTATGACCGTTTTTATGAGCCACGGTGTCGCAGTGGTTAGAGG